AAAAAAAAATTGACGGTTGGTTTTTTAGCATTCTTTTTCTGCCCGTGTCTTCTGAACCATGAGAAGCGAAAATCAAAGCTTAGCTCATTCTCTCTTGGCGTCGATCGTTTTCGCCGAACACGAGAATACATACTGCGAGATAATAATAACATATTGCATGTACTGCAGACATAGAGACTCCTACGTGAGTACAGCCTGAATTTAGCTAACGGATATTGACAAGGACTCTTAAAAATAAACAACCTAATTATACAAGTGCAAATATAACAAAACACAATAACAATATACTTTGGTGCTTCTTACCGCAGTAAAATATCGTATTCAATAATTTGCAAGCAATTCTCCCTTTAGTATAAACATAGCCTGCATAATAAGAGCCAGAACAATGGACTGGTAACAGCCGCTTTATTTTGTTCCTCCCCTTGTCTCGCGCTTCGCCCAAAATGCCGCGTTGTCCTAGCTTGGCTCATAAAGCGCCTGTTTTGCAGGCTAGTATAAACACGGCCCAGAATCTGGAATAACTTGTCATTGGACACGTCCCTTTTTTCCCCTTTTTTTCTGCGGTAAAAAAAGCAACCGTCACAAAGAATAAAAAACAGCACAATATAATGAGGAAAAAAAAGCCTAGAAAAGTACCTAGAAAAAATTATTTCACGATTAAGAAAAATAATGAAAAGGTTTCTATTTTTAAGAAACTGTTTTACCTGAATATTTTTTGTTTCAAACACTCGTTTAATTTGTTTAAAACATAACTGACCCTGGCTGGCAATGCCTTACAAAAGACTTTGGTCCACTTACAGTTGTAGATTTGAATTTTTTTCATTTTATATGTTTACTGTTTTAACTTTAAAAAGTTAGTTATTGAGGTGCTTTTTACGCAGTTTTTCATTTAACCTAGGCGTTAAGCAGAAAACCTTATGTTGCTGTTAATTAATGTTATATTAAGTTGATACTCGAAGATTTTTAAACGATAGAATATTATAATTATCTGAAGTTAGCACTTTTTTGCAGTTACGGTTATATTTTTCAAATTGGATTAGTCACCGTTAAGCAAAAGGTTGAATTAAGTAACCTAAAAAGATTACGTTACTGGAACTCGAGGGACCGAAAACGTTTATCTTGCGACCCTGATAGGATATGAAAAGAGAGATTTTTTCCGGTTTTAGCCTTCCGTCTACACGTCAAACTCTCTGTCTTCAAAAATATCCGGATATGTAAGGAAGAGACCTGAAACGTTGCCTAAAAAGTTGTTGCCACACGTTTTTTTCAACTCGTTTTTGCTGTAAAGCACTCTTCTAAAATTTTTCAATGGATATTGACAAGGACAATAAACAACCTAATTATACAAGTGCAAACAAAACACAATAACAATATACTTTGGTGCTTTTACCGCAGTAAAATATTGCATTCAATAATTTGCAAGCAATTCTCCCTTTAGTATAAACATAGCCTGCATAATATGAGCCAGAACAATGGACTGGCAACAACCGCTTTATTTTTCTCCTGCCCTCGTCTCACGCTTCGCCCAAAATGTGGCGTTCTCCTAGCTTGGCTCATAAAGCGCCTGTTTTGCAGGCTAGTATAAACACGGCCCAGAATCTGGAATAACTTGTTATTGGATACGTCCCCTTTTTCCCCTTTTTTCCTGCGGTACAAAAGCAACCGTCACAAAGAATAACAAACAGCACAATATAATGAGGAAAAAAAAGCCTAATTTGCATGTTTGTTCACTTAAGTCGGAGATGGGATAAAATGATTGCTTGTATTGCATGATCGCTATACTCACAATGGTTTCTGACATATGTATTACGTGCCGAATAATTTGTGGGGAAACAACTCATAAGAATGCAAAAGGAATTGTCACAAGAGAAAGAAAAAATAGTAATAAATCACCAAAATGCTCCCCCTTAAAATTATGAAGTTGACAGGTGACATCATACGCGTAATCAATGCTCTGCGGTTTTCAAAGGGAGTAAATTAAATATCGACAAAGTGATGTTTTAAATATAAGTGCTTGACGCAGGATGGTTCCTGTTAATTAGCTGCTTAGTGGCATCGAAGCAACAGAATATGGTCTAACAAAGACAAGAGAAATTCATTGGTAAGAGAAACTTGTTTTAAAGGTTTTGAAAGATTATTGTTTAATTTACCAGTTCTGGTAATTAAAGGCATCTAATGTGATTAGTTTAACCTGTAAAAGGACACTGAAAACTCTTTCTACTTTATTTTCCTGCGTTCTGCAAAAACCTATAAATGTTTGAAAGATACGTTTGCCTAAACGGACAAATAAATAAGCCTTTAGCGGTACCTAGAAAATATTATTTCCACCAAAAGGTTAAATTAAGTAACCTAAAAAAAGATTACGTTACTGGAACTCGAGGGACCGAAAACGTTTATCTTGCGACCCTGATAGGATATTAAAAGGGAGATTTTTTCTGGTTTTTGCCTTCCGTCTGCACGTCAAACTCTCTGTCTTCAAAAATATCCGGATATGTGAGAAAAAGACCTGAAACATTGCCTAAAAAGTTGTTGCCACACGTTTTTTTCAACTCGTTTTTGCTGTAAAGTACTCCTATAAAATCTTTCAGATTTAAGGTACTGTTAAGAGTTTTTGACAAAGAAGTTATAAAAACACGTATATTCCACGAATCAATTACAAAAAGGGATACTTAGGAAAGATTATTCTGGAATGCTTTGTAGCTTTGAAGAGCAAAAATATTTTTTTACTATGGAAGATGAAAGAAGTGGGGAAGAGACTAAAAGACGAGAAGTCTTATTTGTTACAAAAACGGAAAATATTGGACCTGACAGGAACATGTAGCTTATCTTTGAAAAACATCTTCCCTTCCCCTGGGCCGCGACCATTCCATGATAGTCACATTTATGATTTGAATAAAAATAATAAATAATAAAGATTTAGCGGTGGCTCATCCACATAGTGGTTGTTCATGTACCCGATTCTATAACAAATTGATGGGAATTTGAAAAACAGTTGACTTCTTTTTAGGACAGGAAAATTCGGAATGTCAGAAGAAAAACGTTTCGGAGCAACCCAAGGGTAGGAACCAACAAAAAAACTCAGCTCACAAAAGATATCACCCCTGGATTCGAACAATCCAGGCCACATTAGTGGGACTTGAATGCTCTCCAAATAACTCAGTCACTCTTAAAACGCAGCCTTATTGTGAAAATGAGTTTATTTTCAGGACACTAAAACAATCATTTTAATTTTAAATGGCCTATTACCGTTCTTAAATAGTATTGCAAGTGAAATAAAGGAAACAGGATAAGCTCCCCTCAACCTTTAGTGAGGAGTCCAATTCTTAGCTAGGGCAACGTAAAGTAGTTAGAAGAAGTTAGAAGCGTTTACCACTGTGTTCATAAAAATTGGGCGACACACATGATAAGGAAAAAACGGGGTGGAGATGAACGTCTGAGCTATGAAAACCTGAAAGCTTGGTTTAAAACATGGTCACAGTTTTGGTAAGTGTAATCGACGAGATAGAT